TAGTTGTTTATCTTTATCTCCTCTTTCTTATGATGTTCTATTTATTGCATTTGCTTGTATTTACATTCATGTGTAGTGAGTAGTTACCCATTAGGGTTTGAGATGGGCTAGATTAGGGTTTTATGCTTAATCCTTCTGCTTATGTCTTAATCTAGATCTCTCTCTTTTGGATAATCTTAAGGCTACATGACCACTACCCCTGGCTTGTAGTCCTTAGGCGATTCCCCACACGAAAGTGATGGAAATCGCTGGAAAAGGTCCACTAAGAGCTCCAATACTCTTGCTCTAGAAATAGAGTTCTATAGGGGTTGGATGGATTAGTTTGAGCAATGATCCTATGGCCTCCAAGGCTTGATTCTCACTGGCTAACCCCCTGTTTCTGAGATCATTCCTTGGTTGATAGCTTTCACCTTGGGAAAGGGTTGGCTAGGCATTGAGAAGCTCAATATCAAGAGAACCTTGATACAAGGAGTTTTTAAGAGCTGGATTGATTAAGTATAGATTCCTTTGATTGCAAAACCCTGTCTTGAACCCTAATTCTCTCTTTAGCTTGTTAAAGTCGCTGCCTTTACTGCTTTTTTCTAACTCGACCCTAAACTCGATCGAGCTGGTACTCTGTTCCTACTCGACTCGAGTCTTGGTCGAGCTGCTTGCTTACTGCTTTATTTACTTTTGCATTTCATTTCTGTTTCATTTAGGTTGTTAGTGTTACCAATCTATACTGCTTGCTTGACTTCCTTGGTTGTTTCATATTCTCATAGAGTGACAAGTTTTCCCATTTTGGATTGATAACCCTTTGTACTACATCAACTATCATGGTTAAAGGGAATTGTTGACTGTGTTTGTGTTTGCATCTTACCACCTCATCATATACCACTGTTGCATTCCACACATCTCATTTCATATCATTTCACATCCACACACAAATCCTATCATCAATTTGGCGCCGTTGCCGATTTGGGAATATTTTTGTTGCATTTGAGTTTCAAACATACTTGGACGATCAAGCTATACCACCCCTGTTCTATTGTACTGCTGGGTTTTTGATTCTTTTTGCAGGTGTATGCGAACTCGATCGAGTCGGTCTACTGAAGACTTGGTCGAGCTAGACTTTACAACGGGTAGAAAGAGAGTTCAGAGGTCACAGAGGGTACAAGTGGAACCTGAGGTGCTTATGCTGATACAATGGACGTTCCAGAGGGGAATGGAAACCCTTTGGGAAATGGACTCGGTCGAGCTAGGCAAACTCGACCGATTGGTCAAGGAGATGCTCCAAACCGCCACCAACAGAGACAAGGGATTGTTCCACCACCAGTGCAGAACCACAACTTTGAGATCAAGCTGGGAATGATCAACCTTGTCAGAACAAGATGTTCCATGGATTGCCAAGTGAAGACCCCATTGACCACCTTGATGAGTTTGATAGGCTTTGTGATTTGACAAAGATCAATGGTGTCTCTGAAGATGCCATCAAGCTGAGACTCTTTCCTATGTCTCTAGCTGACAAAGCTCACCAATGGGAGAAGAGCTTGCCCCATGGCACAATCACCACTTGGGATGAATGCAAGAAGGCCTTTCTTGCTAAATTTTTCTCCACCGGTCGCACAGCCAAGCTTAGAGGAGAGATATCCAGCTTCATCCAGCGAAACAATGAGACATTCGCAGAGGCTTGGGAGAGGTTCAAAGGGTACACAAGTCAGTGCCCACACCATGGATTCAACAATGAATCACTACTCTCCACTCTTTATAGAGGATGCTTGCCTAGGTATAGGGAGATGCTAGACACAGCAAGCAATGGCAATTTCCTCAACCAGGATGTAGATGATGGCTGGCAACTTGTGGAGAACATAGCCAACTCAAATGGTAGCTATGGAGAAGAGTATGATCGCACCAATCGGAGCTTGATGTACTTGCATTTTACATGGTTTTAGCCTTCTTTTATGCATCTTTTGCATAGTTTCATTCACCCAAAGCATCATTTCTTGATGTTTTCCCTTCTTTTGCATACATGTAGTTTTAGGCTTGCATTTGCATACATGTGCACGTTTGATGTCTTAATCAGGTCATTTGGAGCTAATTGGAACATTGCCTATCACTGGAGACTAGTTGAGGAAGGAAAGACTCTGTCTGCCCCATGTACGGACCCGCACTCGGTCGAGCTAGTGAGATGCGTCCGAAGTATCGTATCAAATGAAGGGTTTCCACTCCGATTCAGCCTCTGACTTCTTCTTGGAAGTTGTGGATAATTGAGTTAGCTTTCGTCTGGAGGTGGTTTCATGTCATTCGGACCAGCGGTTCAGAAGATACGACGATATTGGTTGGACTCGACCCACCAGCTCGACCGGCCAGTTTCCAACTCGATCGAGCTGCTTTTCCAGGAGTCAAAGTCAAACCCGAAAAATGTTGCTTCCCTTTGACTCCCCTTTGACCCTAAACCTAGTTTGCTTTACTATAAATGGCATTGAGCCACGAATTAAACACAGCTTTGCTCAACTTTTAATTAATCTTGTATTTGCATTTCCTTTTTACTTTTTAGCCTCTCTTTGTGTTCTTGAGCTCTTGCTCATAGAACCCTAGATCTAGGCTTGTTATTGTGTTTTGCACTTTGCTATTTCAATAAAAGTTGTTTATCTTTATCTCCTCTATCTTTTATGTCTCTTTATTGCATTTGGTTGTTTATTTCATCATGTGTAGTGAGTAGTTTCCTTTAGGGTTTAAGATGGGATAGGTTAGAGGTTGTTTATGCTTAATCTCTCTTGCTTATGTTCTTAATCTAGAAATCTCTCTCTTTTGGACAAACCTTAAGGCTACATGACCACTATCCCTGGCTTGTATGTCCATAGGCGATTCTCCACATGGAAGTGATGGAAATCGTTGGAAAAGGTCCACTAAGAGCTCCAATAACTCTTGCTCTCGAAATGGAGTTCATAGGGGTTGGATGGATTAGTTTGAGCAATGATCCTATGGCCTCCAAGGCTTGATTCTCACTGGCTAACCCCCTGTTTCTGAGATCAAGTCTTGGTTGATAGCTTTCACCTTGGGAAAGGGCTAGCTAGGCATTGAGAAGCTCAATATCAAGAGATAGCTTGAGTACAAGTTGTTTAAGAGCAAGACTGATTAAGTATAGCCTCCCTTTAGCTGCAAAACCCTGTCTTTAACCCTAATCTTCGCATTAGCATCTTAAAGTTTGCACCTTTATTGCTTTTCATTCGCTTTCCTCTGTTTTTACACCAACTCGACCCTCAACTCGATCGAGCTCATCAACTCGATCGAGCTCTTGGTCGAGCTGCTTTTATTTACTGCTTTTGCTTGCATTTCATTTCATATTAGGTTGTTTAGTTGTTACATCCCTCCATTTAATCATTTGGCTTGACTTTCTTGTGTTTGCATATTCTCATAGAGCAACATCTCACCCTTATGGATTGATAACCTCTTATACTTCAATGACTATGATGGTTAAGAGGAATTGATTGATTGTGATTGCACCATACCATCTCATCTCTATTCACCCCTGTTTGCATTCCACCTCATTTCATATCATCCTTCATTCACTTCATCCACGTAAAATCCTATCATCAGAGCTCGACCCACCACTCGATCGAGTCAGACGAAAAGTTGAGAAAAGATGTTAAGGCATTGAATGAGAAGTTGGATAAGCTGATCCTAGCTCAGTCCACAATGAAGAAAGTCAACTTTGTGTCTGCTGAGGAGATGGAACCAGTCCAAGAAGGGGAGGATACACAATTTGCTGAGGTGTGCTACATGAGCAATGGGCAAGGAGGTTACAACAAAGGATACTATAATTACAAGTCCAACCCTGCCATGTCATACCGCAACACTGATGTTGCTAACCCTCAGGACCAAGTATATCCTCAACAACAAGCAGCTCGATCGAGTCAGGTGCCACAACATGGGTATGGTCAAAAGAACAATTACCAAGGACCACAAGGCACTTTCCCTGGACAACAAATGAATATCCCACCAGGCTTCCCCCACCAACCGCCCCAGCCTGCACCTTCACAAGAGAATGAGCTCAAGGCAATGCTAAAGCAACTACTTCAAGGGCAAGCTGATGGGGTAGTGGACACAAGCAAGAAGCTAGCTGAAATAAACTCTAAGATCGAGAACCTCAACACAAGGGTTTACTCTCTGGAGAATCATGCTTCTTCTGTTGCTGCTGCTACAAAGCAAGGACAACTACCTGGTAAAGCTATTCAGAACCCCAAGGAACAGTGCAAGGTCATCTTCACTCAAGAAGGACTTGTTGAAGAAGAGGATCAAGAAAGGGTCATTGAAGATTTTTGTTTACTGCTGAATGATGAAGAGATTGTTGCTGCTGAGGCTCCTGGAGTCCAGATTGATCAACCAGAAGTGCAGGCACCTACTGTGGCCATTCACACTTCACCAGTTGAGCTCGCACAACAAGCTCGATCGGCAGCTCGATCGAGTCCAACTCTAGCTCGATCGAGTCCGACCTCTTCTGTCCAAGCCAGTTTTGCTTGATCCTTACCAACCGGTTGCCGCTTCCTCGTCTCGCCTACTTAGTCAAGGTCACAAGGAAGTGATTCACAAGTTCAGAAGAGATCTCAGTGGGATTGGAATTGAGTTGCCTCCTATGGATAGCATGAGTGAGGCATTTGATCAAATGCAAATGGTCAAGGATGTTCTAGCCAACAGTGATAAAGTTTCAGAGGTCCTGAAGAGTCTACTCATCAGTTCAACCTGCTTACTTCACCCACCTTCCTACCAAAGGTCAAGGATCAAGGGAAATTCACTCTCCCTTGCACACTTGGGCATCTTGAGATTGACAATGCCTTAGTGGATTCTGGAGCAAGCATCAATCTGATCTCTCTCTCCATGGCAGAGAAGCTAGGCATTGCTGGAGCCTTGCAGCGCCCTACTACTTCAATCATGTTTGGAGATGCAACTTCTAAGTCTCCTCTTGGAGTGTTCAAGAACTATCACTTGAAAATTGGAGAATGCATCATCCAAACTGATCTCACTGTGATGGAAATGGAAGAAGAGAAGGATCTACCTCTGTTATTGGGAACCCCATTCCTTAGTACAGTTGGCGCTTCAATAGACTTTCACAAGCAAGAAGTGATCCTTCACAAGGTGAATAGTTTGGTGTCATATCGCTTGCAGCCTAGAGGTTCAGACTTTTGTGCCACAATTGACAGTACCACTCTCAGTTCTAAGAGTCATGGAGCTACAAAGGTTGTGAAGGAAAGGGTTGACAAAGAACCAAGAGTTGGGAAGGATAAGGATGAGAGAGGACCAAGGATTGAGAAGCCACGTCTTGAGAGGGCTAGAGTTGAGAAACCACGTTCTGATAGACCACGAGCTGATAGACTTGTTCAAGCCCCTTGTGTGCTTGATGAAGAAAGCCTTCAAGCTTTGTTTGATGAGCCACTAGGAAGGGCTCTAAAAGAAGGGGAGGATGTAGCCTCTAAGGCAAGACCAGGGATAAAAGAAAGATCCACCAGCTCAGGCCCCTTCATCAAGCCATCTCAGCTCACAATGACTTTGTTCCCCACCAAGTTTGAAAATGGGAAGATTGAGTACAAGATAAGGTACAAGGGGAGATCAAGGCCATTCTCTAGAGCCAAGGCCTTGGTGACTTCAGAACAGTCCAGGGACCCAACCAAGCTAAAGGAGCTTCTGTCTCAAGTCCTCACTATCACCCTTGATGGTGGGACTAGCTCAACCAATGCCTAAGAAGGTAAAGGTCAAGCTATGGGACCTTAAACAAGCTCACTTGGGAGGAAGTCCCATGTTTATCCTTGTACATACTCTATTTATGCAATTTCTATCTATCTTTATGTTTTTAACCTTTCAATAAGTTAAGTTTAGGTGACAAAGGAGCCAGCTCGACCGATAGCTCGATCGAGTTCCACAACTCGACCGAGGTAAGTTTTTGAATTTCAAATTCATAACCGTTTTCTTGGTCAAGGGAGTGGGTCCCACAAGCTGATTTTGGTCCCCCACTACCCTAATTGATCAGAAAAACCCTAGCTTTTGTCCCCTCATTTCATCTTTTAATCTCAACCACACATCTCAAACACCCTCTTCCCCATAACTCGATCGAATCCCACTCTCCCACACCCTAAATTTTCTGAAACCATCTCTCTCTCTTCACCACAAGAAAAATCGATTTCCTCTTTCTCTCTAAGTTTTTGCGATTTCTTTGTTCTCTTCTTGTTTTGCTTAGTTCTAGTTTACTGATTCTTCAATTCATCATTCAAGCAAGGTATGAACCCTAAAACCCTTGATTCCTTCATCTCGATTTCCTATTGCTTGTTTCCTCTTTGATTTTTGATTGCATGTGTCCCTTTGGACTTGTCTTGAGTAATTGCTTTCCTTTATGCTTCATATTTGTATAATCTTGTGAATTTGCCTCACCTCACCTCTGTTTTTCATTAGAACTTGTTGCATGTGCTTGAAAATTGAATTTGAGTTTGGTATTGGTTAAGATGCTTGTGCTTCACTAGAATTGCTCTTTGTTCCATTTACTAGTTGTTCTTGGTTCAATTTGATTGATTAGCATCTTTTCCAGCTCTTAATACTTGATTTAGGTTCGGTTATACTCTGTTTTCACCTAGCTCGATCGAGTTTGTCACTCGAGTTTTTTGACTCGATCGAGCTGAGTGTCGAGTTGACCAAACCAATCATTACAACTCTAATTCTTTGTAGTTTTTGATGCATTTCAGGAACCCAACTTCAAGAAAAACAAGTTCAAGATGTTGAGAGGTGAGGAAGCCAAGCAGCATTGGGGAGAAAGCAAAGGGCAGAAAAGCAAGAAGAATGAGAGAAAGGATGTCCATAGATGAAGGATTGGAATATGTGAGATCAAGGGAAGAGAGGAACCAGCAGATGAAGAGAGGCATGTCTCCTCTGAGGAGCGTCTGAAAGCGAGAGATTGAGGGAGGAAAGGAGGACCAAGAAGAGGAATGACCCCATTAGTAGTGAGAGTGAACAAGGGGAGTTTGAGATTGGAGTGAACCTTGTTCAAGAGAGGGTAATGGTTCTCCAAGTGAAGAAGGAAGTGATGAGACTGAGAGTGAAGAGGAAGGAGAAGAGGTCAATCAAGAGATTGAGGAAGTGTGCATAAGAGCAATGAAAATGTGCCAATGGAGGAGGCTGAATCAGAGGAAGAGGATGAACTCCCCATGTACCAAGAGCATTACAATGCCTCTTCTCCATGGACTTTGTGGAGACTAAGTACCCACATGATGACACCATGAGAGACCTTGGGATCTTTGAGGATGTGGAGTTGGTGCTCAAGAACATGCAACTTGGAAAGTTCTTCTCTCATCGCATGGAGTCTTACAAGGAGCTGACTTGTGAGTTTTTGGCATCGATGAGGTATCACCAATTCGATGAGCTCGATCGAGCTGATGTGGACCAAGGCTGGGGTACATAACTTTCTTGGCAAGGGACGGGAAGAAGATCAGAGGAGATAGGGCACATGCAGGAAACCTCATGCCTCTCCTTGAGCAGCTACTTGCCTACAAGTCACGGCCTTACAACACTAGGCACAAAGGGAAGAAAGCTTAGTGTTGGAGGGGTGATCACACCAATCCTTTGTGCAGCAGGAGTCCAACTGACAAGAGAGGTCTAACTCCAGCTGGTTGGATGGACATCAAGTTTTGCAAGACCAACCTCTCATTGAGCACAAGGAGTTGGATGGGAGGTTCCAATTCAAGTTCACCATCCATTGGCTGGCCCTCCAAGCTTCTCCTGCCCAACCCAGAGCTCACCACAGTAGTAGGGGTGAGAACATTGACTTCAGACCCCCTGTGTACACATTAGTTGGGCATGAGGACGATTTGCGAGAAGAGGAGCCTGAGCTCGATCGAGCTGAGGATCGAGCTGAGTCTCAAGCTGAAGATCGAGTCCAGGAGAGTGCGGATTTGGGTGAGCCTGAGTGCTACTATTTTGAGGAGTATGAGGCTCCAAGGATGAACCCCTCTGTTGTGGCTGCCCACAAGAGGATTGGACTTCTCCAAAGGTTCAACAAGTGGCAAGGGAAAGCCATGGAAAAGATGCAAAAGTCCATGGACAAGATGGTGAGCAAGATCAAGAGTTTGGAGAAGAAGTTTCTGGTTCTTCAAGCAAGAAGAAGAAGGCCCCATGGCCCCCACTTCCCTAGGAGTAGATCACTCCTCACCACTCCAAGGAGGCTCTGCCCAAGAGCCTCACAGAGCCTCTTCATTTCGAGCCAAGGGAAGGGAAGACAACTCACAGAGAAGGAGGAAGAGTTCCAAGGCCAGACGCTCCAACTCGACCACCGGACTCGATCGAGTCCAAACAGAGGAAACTCAACTCGATCGAGCTGAGGGTCGAGTTGACCTGGAGGAGCCCCTGTTTGAGAACCGGATTCGAGTACGATCCACGCCTTACCAGGACTTCTCCCAGACCAACTGGACCCCTACAACCGTTCGAGCAAGCCAGCTCCACCAAGGCCAAGGAAGCCACACCCACTTTGAAGATGAAGAAGAAGAAGAGGAGGAGCCGCAAGCTCGATCGAGTGAGGGAACCCAGTCGAGTGGAGTGCTCCTGATGGCCGTCTACCATCTCCAGACCACGACCTAGCCTCCCAGTTCTTTGGGGGGCACTGAGGTATCCAAACACCAACCCTTGTATATACCATTTCATATTTTCTTGCATTTGTTTTGTTTTTCTTGGTTTTGCCCTCTTGAATCTTTCACTAAATTTTCTCACACAAGGGACTGTGTGATTTAAGTTTGGGGGAGGGTTCAAGAGATGATTTAACCTTGTTTTCTTTGTTCTTAGTTTTTCATTCATCTTTTGCATAGAAAAACCAAAAAAATCATAAAATTTTCAAAAAATCCAAAAATATTTTCATCTTTTTGCATTCATATTTGTTAGACTTGTTTAGGATTGCATTTTTCACTTGCATTGTTGATTTGACTTTGAAAACTTGTTCATCTTTTGCGATTTCTTGAGTGCCCTGTTTTTAGATTCTCTTGTGCATTAGGGTGAGATTGATTGAGCAACAAGAACCATGTTTATCTTGATCATATCACTGCATGCACATCTCATTCAACCATTGCTGTGATTTGATGCATTTCCCTATCTATTGAACCATAACTTGATCTTTAATTACCAATGCTTGCATTTGATTTCAACTCATGGCTACCACATACATATCTGGACATTCTTTACCTTTTCATATCCCTTTTGCTTGTCCAGATAGCTGATCTCTATCTTTGAGACAGTTACCACACCTTAAACCTAAGCCTTTTCATTTCAAACCCCATATTATCTCTTGTGCGAATGTGAGAACCTTTCTTGGCTTTGCTTAGCATAAGGTGTTGTGTTTAAACCGGCAGGGGCAGTAGTTCTAGTTGTCTAGTTCTCTTGGGATTGTTTTCAGGCTAAGTTTGGGGGTGCCAACTCGAGCTCGATCGAGTTGGGTGTAAAAACCAGAAAAGTGGTAAAAGTTGGGAAAAACCCAAAGGAAAAAGAGTTTAGTTAAGTCCAGGGAGTTGGCAGTGTTAAAAAGGGTCTAGTAAAGGTTTGGGAAGTTAAAAAAGGAAGTAAAAAGGGTTCTAAGTAGAATGAAAAGAAGGCAAAGCCTCAAGTGTCAAAAAGAAAGAAAAGTTCCCTAAGTGTTTAGAAAATCCCAAACCGCTAGATGTTACCTCAAGAAGCCTCTCCCTAGGAAGTTCTTAAAAGAAAAGTGAGCAAAGCTCCTCAGTTTCAAAGGCGAAATGCCAAAAAGGGTAGTTAGGATTTTGTTCTAAAAAGCTCTAAGTGTTGAACTCGATCGAGTTAGGATTAGACGGCTCGAGCTGCTGTTCTTGCATCATCTTTGGTTCTAACACTTAGCCTTCTGCCAAAGCAAAGCCACTTTCTTGAGAGATCCCTGTTACTAAACCACCATACAAAAGAGACCCTCTTTGTCTCTTAACCCATAAACCCTTGAAACCAAATGAGTTGATTGATCTTGCATGTTTTTGGTTCACTGTTTTTGCTTAATGAATGTTAAAGGGATTTGCTGATTTGAATGCATTGTTTGAGTGACTGTGAAGTGGGATTGATGTTGATAAGCATGGTTAAATCTTAATGAATATCTCTCACCTTGTTGCATTCTAGAATCTCTAAGTTGGACATTTAGCAAATCGCTTTTGAGGACATGTTTTTAAGTGTTGAATCAGCTTTTTCAAACCTCATCTCTTTCTTGTTCTATTTGTTTGCTTGAGGGCAAGCAAAGTTCAAGTTTGGGGGTGTTGATGTACTTGCATTTTACATAGTTTTAGCACATCTTTTATGCATCTTTTGCATAGTTTTAGCTTCCATTTGCATCATATCTTGTTCCTTTTCTCTTCTTATGCATTCATGTTAGTTTTAGGTTGCATTTGCATACATATGCATGTTTGGTCCTTTGAAATAGGTCTTTTGGAGCATTCTGGAGCATATGGGACATGAGGAGCATGGAGGGACTTGGCACATGGACGCAGCTCAACTGGATACGCAAAGGAAGAAGGGAGAAGCCATCTTGAAGACCAGCTCGACCACTCGACCAACCGGTCGAGTTCCTCAACTCGACCGGCCAAGCTTCAACTCGATCGAGCTGAGAAGTCAACAGTCAAACCCGAAAAATGTTGCTTCCCCCTTGACTTTCCTTTGACCCTAAACCTAATCCTCTTTGTATTTAAAGGCTAAGCCACGAAAAAACCACCAAGCTTTAGATTATTTTGTTTTAGTTTCTTTTAATTTATTGTCTTTTACTTTTTAGAGCTCTAATCCCATCTTTGTGTTCTTGAAGCTCTTGCTTCTTGAATCCTAGATCCTGGATAATCTCTTTGTATTTGCACTTGCTTATTTCAATAAAAGTTGTTTAATTTCATCTCCTCTTTCTTATGATGTCTCTTTTATTGCATTTGCTTGTGTTTACATTCATGTGTAGTGAGTAGTTACCCATTAGGGTTTGAGATGGGATAGATTAGAGGTTTCATATGCTTAATCCTTCTAGCTTATGGTCTTAATCTAGATTCTCTCTCTTTTGGATAGATCTTAAGGCTACATGACCACTACCCCTGGCTTGTAAGTCCTTAGGCGATTCCCCACACGAAAGTGATGGCATTCGCTGGAAAAGATCCACTAAGAGCTCCAATATCTCTTGCTCTAGAAATAGAGGTCTAAGGGGTTGGATGGATTAGTTTGGGCAATGATCCTATAGCCTCCAAGGTTTGATTCTCACTGGCTAACCCCCTGTTTCTGAGATCATTCCTTGGTTGATAGCCTTCACCTTGGGAAAGGGTTGGCTAGGCATTGAGAAGCCCAATATCAAGAGAAGCCTTGATACAAGGAGTTTTAAGAGCTAGATTGATTAAGTGTAGATTCCTTTGATTGCAAAACCCTGTCTTGAACCCTAATTCTCTCTTATTTGTTAAAGTCGTCCTTTAGCTTTTTTGTCTCAACTCGACCCTAAACTCGATCGAGCTGGTACTCTGTTCCTACTCGACTCGAGTCTTGGTCGAGCTGTTTACTGCTTTATTTACTTTTGCATGCATTTCTTTTTTTAGGTTGTTAGTGTTACTTCAAATCTATTACTGCTTGCTTGACTTCCTGGTTGTTTCATATTCTCATAGAGTGACAAGTTTCCCATTTTGGATTGATAACCCTTTGTACTACATCAACTATCATGGTTAAAGGGAATTGTTGACTGTGTTTGTGTTTGCATCTTACCACCTCATCATATACCACTGATTGCATTCCACACATCTCATTTCATATCTTTTCACATCCACACACAAATCCTATCATCAGTGCGTCGCCAAGAGTGAGTGTGGTCTCTGGCGGTATTGTGGTGGAAGCTAGGTAGGGTTTTATCCTCTGTCCATTAACTGTAAAGTCTCCTCCCATTGGGTCCCAAAGTACCATTGCTCCATAGGGGCGAACTTCTTTTATTCTAAATGGTCCAGCCCATCTTGAGCGAAGCTTTCCCGGAAAGAGTTTCAACCTTGAGTTGAATAAAAGAACCTGGTCGTTTGTCGCGAAGTTCTTTGGAATGATCTTGCGGTCATGGAAAGCCTTGGTTCTCTCCTTATAGATCTTTGAATTCTCATACGCCAAATGTCGAATCTCATCAAGCTCATTTAGCTGAATCAATCTCCTTTTTCCTGCTGTCTTTAAGTTGAAGTTCAACTCCTTAATGGCCCAAGCTGCTTTGTACTCTAGTTCTACAGGTAAATGGCATGCTTTTTCATAAACAAGATGAAAGGGGGTGGTACCTGATATACCTCTATTTTACATGTTTTTATACTATTTTATACTGTTTTAGTATTGTTTTCTAATGGTTTTTGGCAGGTTTTCTATCTAAAAAGGTAGTTTTACTGTGTTTATAGTGTCTAGAGTCTAAACAGGTGAAATGATGCATTTTGGAGCAAAACCATAGGATTTGCACTTCAAGCCGCTCCATGCACAAGCATCAACTTTAAGAGGGCCCAGAAAAAGATCTACTCAATGGATTTCATCAAGACCAGTTCCCTGCGTGCTCTGATTGAGTTAACTTTCCAACGCAACTGGAACGGCCTCATTTGGATGAGTAGAAAAGGAGTTATAACCAAAAGAGTGAAGACTGTCCAGACGGCTCTATCGAGAACAGCGCCAACCGTGCAGCCGGCTGGCCGAGAAACGAATGTTTCCGCTCGGCCAAAATCGTCCGTCTGAAGTCTCGGCCAAAGTTCGATCATCCGGCCGACGCATCACGACCCGGGAAACAATGTCCCGCGGTCGGCCAAGCCACGACCACTCAAGCCATGCCGCACGAGCCGGGAAGCAAGCCTCGCGGCCGCGCAACCTATCTCGTACCACGGCCGATGCGCCGTCCGAGCCGGGAAGCCACGTCCCGCGTCCGGCCGAGAAACATCGGCCAATCTTCACCCGTCCGACCACAGCGGCCGACCGCAATCCGTCCGGCCACGACCGTTCCGATCGTACACGACCACAACCCGATTATCCGGCCGATCGTCCCGACCGACCGTCCGAACGCCGCGGTCGACCCGAAGCCCGTTTTGAAGCCCGATTTACATATTTTCAAGGCCCGGCTTAACCCTAAGCCGCCTCTAAAGACCTAGCACTATATATATAGCTTTTTAGCCTCTTGTGAAAAGAGAGCCGCCCTTGTATCACGATTTCCTACTCTAAGTTTTATTGCAATCATGTTTTCTTCATCTCTATGTGTGTTTGCTTTGATCATGTCTGAGTAATCCACTAGTTAGGTTGCTAGGGTTACTATCAATGAGTTGCTTTGCATGATCTTTGATTTCATGATTAGCTAGGGATTATATAGAGTCTTTGTCTCGTCTTGTGCACTTAACTAATGCTGATTGCTTTACCGCGCATCTAGTAATCCGATCTTAGGTTGATTTGAGCCTCGACAGTGTTGTATCATTCGCCGGACATATTCTTTGACAAGCTAGGTTTCTTAGACTGCGAAAGTTGATCTACTATAATCTAGTGAACTGTATCAGAACCTATTCATTCTAAAGCTTGATTTAATCACCTAGGGACATACCAAAAGTTTAGCGACTAGGTAGCCCGGAGCCTCGAAAGTGGAATGGTTTTATATTCGTGATCTGTGTTGTAATAACCCTGAAACGGGATAAGAAGAATCAAGGAAGTCGATCAAGTGGAATATGGGATGTTTGAGTGGGAAACTCAATTAAACATGTGTTAAAAAGACACATGTCATAAACAAGAGAAAGATTTTCTGAGTGGGACACTTGTCACAATGGGGGATTCTTGATGGATTTAATGAATCTGGCCTTATGAGGTGTCAAGTACAGAAGCAATCAGGAATTTGGTGGCAGGCGTGTGGCGGCTCTGGAGGAATTCAAGGAGCTTGTCTAGACGATGTGTCGTCGGGTTAAGCCTCTTCCGCCGCATGTGGAGGAGAACACCGCCACTTGTCGCCGGAAGTTTGACACTTGTCCTCCGAGGTGTCAAGGGGAGAAAGAAATTCCAGCTACCACTATGTCTCCCTCTCCAGCCTATAAATACCCCTCTTTCACCCTTTAGAAACCTTTGTTCCACCAAACCTTAGTTTTAAAGAAGAGAGAGAGAAAGAAAGAGAGAGAGAGAGATAGAGAGAGAGAGAGTGAAGAGTGTCTTCCTTTGAGCTTGGCTAAGACCGTGAGAGTTAAGAGAGAGGATAGGTATTCAATCAAGGGGCGGGTAGCTGTTAGATCATTCAAGAAGTTAAGCTTAGAAGCCATCAGCCGATAGCACTGTGAGTTTTGGTGATTTGTGATTGCTTGCTAGGAAATGTTGTTAGATTGCGTGTTTATTTAATTGCTTGTGTTGAGATTGCTTGCTAGGATTCACTTGCTAGATTCTGTGATAGTTCTATTGCTTGTTGCATGTTGTGTTAAGAGTTATATCTTCTTGGATATAATTCTCTTGTGTGGTTTCTTTTGCATGAGAGTTTTTACTAACATCAACCGTGATTTTCAAAGAGTTTTCAAAGTGGATTTTTGGTGGTGTGATGTGGTGGTGGTTCGGTCTTCCTTTTATACCTCACTTAGGCGACGTACTGCTAAGTGGGAAGACTCGGAGAGACGGGATAGCAGCCTAGGGCCGAGTGCTATTTCACCTCATTTAGGCGACGTACTGTTAAATGAGAATACTCGGAGAGACGGGGTTGCTGCCTATGGCCGAGTATGAAATAGTTAACCCGGGTAGGATTCGTTTGTGCGACAAGACTCGAGTGAGCCGTAAAAACGAGGTCTTGCCGTAGCGGGGCTGTCTCATAGACGAAACTCGGGTAGTGATGTTCTGTCTCGCGTGCCTGTGTGGCTGTGAGATGGGTGTTCACGGGGAAGAACCAAATGCACGGGAGTAGAAGAAGAAGTGGATGAGGAGGAGAAAGTTTTAGAAAGTGTTTTGAATTTACGAACCTCTAACTTTTGTTAGTTGTAATCTTTAATTGGTTGTGCATGTTCTTGTTTGATTGTTGCATGATCAGTTAAGGGTTACAATTAACATATTGCGTGTTGTGTGTTATTTTGGGTTTTGGGGTGGGTTTGTTATCTTGTTAGAGGGAGCCATTACTTGCTGAGCGACTAGCGCTCAACCCCCTTTTTCTCTTGCAGGTTAGCATAGTGGAGCAAGGAACGTTAGGCCACCGGCGTAGTTTTTGTTGTCTTTGTAAAATAGAACGTTTTGGAAACATATATATGGTCGTTTTGAGCAGTAGGCTCAGTTGTAAAAGTCTTTAAGTGTTTGGGATGTTTTGTGAAACCTTAATATATGAATAAAAGCTTACTTTCTATATTAACCGGTTTCATCTGATATTAGTCTTGTCCGGACTAACACAACTCTCGACTTGGGAACGGGTTGCAAAGCCTTAGGCCTTGGTCGAGAGGGACGGTATTGAGAATGGATCGACCGAGGCTTTGGATTTGTTCTAAAGACTCAGTTGGGCCGTACTCAATATCCGTCATTGTGACATTTCTGGCCCATCTATGTATAGATCAAGTCGGGGGTGTTACAAATGGTGGTATCAGAGCATGGTTCATGATCATGCGTCAGTGGGACTAGGTTTTCAAATGTTTTATCGAGTCAAAATGAGTCGCAAAGGCAACTTAGGAAGCTGGTACGTTCTTTGGTAGGTAATTAAATAGGTTAGAACTTACCCTTGGTGGATGATGCAGATGTCGGTGAGACGTTTTTCGTTAAGGAGCGTGGTGCAAAGATCGCTGGCGGGAAGAGGTGAACCAGTTCAGAATGATTCTTCTAGTTCAAGTTCAGCAACAGAATCAGATTGGGGGCCATCGGATGATACAAAGACAGAGTTGGATAGTGAGAGTGTGACGTTATCACTTGAAAACAATGGTCAGTCAGAAGCAATAGAGTCAAGGCATACTTCTCCAGAGCAAAGAGAACTTGTGAACCAAGCGACAAATCCAATGTTGACGATGATGCATGATATGCTCACTTACTTGAAGGACGAAAGGCAAGCAGCAACAAATGGTACATCAGGAAGCTCGACATCTCCAGACTTCCTGAAGATCGTAACGATGATGAAAAATCTTGGATCAACACATTATGGTGGAGGAACAAATCCATTTGATGCTGATAGTTGGTTGCAAAACCTGGAGAAAAACTTTGCAGCCACTCGATGTCCTGAAGATTACAAAAAGGATGTCTCAGTATACTATTTAGAGAAGGATGCTGCAAGTTGGTGGTCAACTATTGAACACTACTACAACAATCCAGAAGCGACATGGCAAGAGTTTCGTAAGGAGTTTACAAGAAAATATTTCCCACCGGAGACAAGAGATAGATTGGAGGCTCAGTTCTTGAGGTTAGAACAAGGGAAGAGAAGCGTCAGAAACTACAAGGTAGAATTCACAAGACTAAGGAGATACGTCAAATATGGCCAAGACGATGAAGCTGCGATAACAAGGAGGTTCATGCATGGGTTAAGACCAGAAATTCAGAGTCGACTTCAAGTGGTAGAATACATATCTTATCTTGAGTTGGTGGGGAGAGCCGTAAATGTAGAAGCAGCCGTCATTGCAGAAGAAGAAGTGAAATCACAAAACCGCAAGAGAAGATATGATGGAGATACGCAAGGAGAACCGAATAATCAAGAAAAGAGAAGAGAAAATAGAGACGGACAGATGAGTGCTCCTTCAGGATCAGCTACAAAATGTTACACATGTGGAGAAGCCGGCCACATTGCGCGACAATGCCCAAGTAGGCACCAATACCGTCAACAAGTTCCTCCTCATATAATTTGTCATTCATGTGGAGAAAAAGGTCACTATTCGAACTTCTGTCGAAAGTTGGAACTCAACCAAATCTTAGCACTTGACGACCCTCCTCCGCGACCTGCACCAGTACGCCCAGTGATCGAAGAACCAGCGCCAGCTCCAGTACGGCTGCCAGGACAAGGATTCCCTAGCTATATAAGTTAGATTTTAGTAAACCTTCATGACTTTTTAAAAAAGGTCTCTGGGAAAGGTAAGTAAGGGTGCTAACTCTATGATTGATTGGTTGATTGATTGTGTGCATGATTGCGTGTTTGTGTGAGTGGTAGAAATCAAGTAGGATAGTTCTAAAAGTGTTAGAAGAGAGAACCATAGGACACCTACCCTAGAGTTTTGGAAGCCGTTCGACCTAACCTTAGGAATTCGAGGACGAATTCTTTTAAGGGGGGAAGAATGTAATAACCCTGAAGCGGGATAAGAAGAATCAAGGAAGTCGATCAAGTGGAATATGGGATGTTTGAGTGGGAAACTCAATTAAACATGTGTTAAAAAGACACATGTCATAAACAAGAGAAAGATTTTCTGAGTGGGACACTTGTCACAATGGGGGATTCTTGATGGATTTAATGAATCTGGCCTTATGAGGTGTCAAGTATAGAAGCAATCAGGAATTTTGTGGCGGGCGTGTGGCGGCTCTGGAGGAATTCAAGGAGCTTGTCTAGACGATGTGTCGTCGGGTTAAGCCTCTTCCGCCGCATGTGGAGGAGAACACCGCCACTTGTCGCCGGAAGTTTGACACTTGTCCTCCGAGGTGTCAAGAGGAGAAAGAACTTCCAGCCACCACTATTTCTTCCTCTCCAGCCTATAAATACCCCTCCTTCACCCTTTAGAAACCATTGTTCCACCAAACCTTAGTTTTAAAGAAGAGAGAGAAAGAAAGAGAGAGAGAGAGATAGAGAGAGAGAGAGAGAGAGAGTGAAGAGTGTCTTCCTTTGCGCTTGGCTAAGACCGTGAGAGTTAAGATAGAGGATAGGTATTCAATCAAGGGGCGGGTAGCTGTTAGATCATTCAAGAAGTTAAGCTTAGAAGCCATCAGCCGATAGCACTGTGAGTTTTGGTGATGTGTGATTGCTTGCTAGGAAATGTTGTTAGATTGCTTGTTTATTTAATTGCTTGTGTTGAGATTGCTTGCTAGGATTCACTTGCTAGATTCTTTGATAGTTCTATTGCTTGTTGCATGTTGTGTTAAGAGTTATATCTTCTTGGATATAATTCTCTTGGGTGGTTTCTTTTGCATGAGAGTTTTTACTAACATCAACCGTGATTTTCAAAGAGTTTTCAAAGTGGATTTTTGGTGGTGTGATGTGGTGGTGGTTCGGTCTTCCTTTTATACCTCACTTAGGCGACGTACTGCTAAGTGGGAAGACTCGGAGAGACGGGATAGCAGCCTAGGGCCGAGAGCTATTTCACCTCATTTAGGCGACGTACTGTTAATTGAGAATACTTGGAGAGACGGGGTTGCTGCCTATGGCCGAGTATGAAATAGTTAACCCGGGTTGGATTCGTTTGTGAGACAAGACTCGAGTGAGCCGTGAAAACGAGGTCTTGCCGTAACGGGGCTGTCTTATAGACGAAACTCGGGTAGTGATGTTCTGTATCGCGTGCCTTTGTGGCGGTGAGATGGGTGTTCACGGGGAAGAACCGAATGCACGTGAGTAGAAGAAGAAGTGGATGAGGAGGAGAAAGTTTTAGAAAGTGTTTTGAATTTACTAACCTCTAACTTTTGTTAGTTGTAATCTTTAATTGGTTGTGCATGTTCTTGTTTGATTGTTGCATGATCAATTAAGGGTTACAATTAACATATTGCGTGTTGTGTGTTATTTTGGGTTTTGGGGTGGGTTTGTTATCTTGTTAGAGGGAGCCATTACTTGCGCTCAACCCCCTTTTTCTCTTGCAGGTTAGCATAGTGGAGCAAGGAACGTTAGGCCACCGGCGTAGTTTTTGTTGTCTTTGTAAAATAGAACGTTTTGGAAACATATGTATGGTCGTTTTGAGCAGTAGGCTCAGTTGTAAAAGTCTTTAAGTGTTTGGGATGTTTTGTGAAACCTTAATATATGAATAAAAGCTTACTTTCTATATTAACCGGTTTCATCTGATATTAGTCTTGTCCGGACTAACACAACTATCGACTTGGGAACGGGTTGCAAAGCCTTAGGCCTTGGTCGAGAGGGACTGTATTGAGAATGGATCGACAGAGGCTTTGGATTTGTTCTAAAGACTCAGTTGGGCCGTACTCAATATCCGTCATTGTGACATTTCTGGCCCATCTATGTATAGATCGAGTCGGGGGTGTTACATGTGTTCTAGACGGTTCTTAATATCCCAACATCCCTAATCATTGTTTCATTGATCATTGCTTGCTTCTCTGCGATTAGCCCCTATTGACCTAGCGCTTCTTCCTTTATTGATTTACAACCTCGTTTACTTGCTAGTTCGGTTCACCATTACAACCTCAATCATACTTTTGTTTTAGCTTGATCCAAAATCCATAGTTTCAAAGTGTACTCAATAGCCAGTCCTTGTGTTCGATACCCATACTTCCGCGATCTGTGCACTTGCAGAGGTCTAGAGTTTGGTAAAACCTGACTCACATCAAGTTTTTGGCGCCGTTGCCGGGGACTGCAGCAGTACCTTTGAACTCGACTAGGATCTAGTCTAGAACCTTTTCCTGTTTTACTTTTCTTTTGCTTTTGAATTTTCAGTTTTTGATTTCTTTTCTTTGATTTTTGCTTTTGTTTTTGTTTTTCCCTTTTGATTTAACTTTGTTTCCTAGACTCTTTTCAGGTGCATGACTAGGAGGTCCAACAAGGACAACCTAGTTGAACATCCAGAGATAGACAAGCTTGAGAAGCAACTTAGGAAGCAAAAAGCCCAAGAGATGGCCGACGAAGCAGCTCGCGCTCACGCCGCTGAAGTGGCGCGCGCTCAATGAAGAAGGAAGAGATCCACCTCCTCCTCCTCCTAATCCACAAGATCCTGCTGGAGATGTGAATGTGCAACCTCAAGCAGCACCTAAACAATCGGAGACTATGACTCTGCCGATGCTTTCTTCATGGATAGAAACCCTATCCATCCACCACTTCCTGCAAGGAATGACTATGAGATCAAGCCTCAGATCATAGCATTGGTTAGACAGAACCAATTCAATGGCCTTCCAGCTGAGCATCCTCTTGATCACATAGAAAACTTTGAAGAGATTTGCAGCACTACAAGATCCAATGGAGTCTCTGCTGACTACTTGAAGTGCAAGCTCTTTTCATTCTCTCTTGGCGACAAAGCTTCAAGATGGTTGAAGTCTCTGCCAGCTCACTCCATTACCACTTGGGATGAGTACAAGGCCGCTTTCATCAACCACTTCTACACCAAGCAAAGATCAGTTTCTGTAAGGAACAAGATCTCCAACTTTCGCCAAGCCAACAATGAATCTTTCTATGAGGCGCTAGACCGATTCAAGGAGTACATTAGGGACTGCCCTAATCATGGTTTCAATGAGGGAAACCTATGGAACATCTTCTATCGTGGCATAGACCACAAGTACAAGCTTTCATTGGACACTGCAAGCAATGGAAACTTCATGACCAAGACTGTTGATGAAGCTAAGGTTCTTATTGAGAATCTTGCAGCTAGTGATTGTAACAACTGTCCTGATTATGACCGCTCAAGCCGCACCACTACTAGCTCCCCTGATTCTTTTCAAATGACTGAACTCAAGAACATGATGGCTCAAGTTCTTAAGGGACAGCTCAAGCATATCAATGCAATAGAAGGGATGAGTGATGCTAATGAAGACCCATCAAGAGAATGCATGGGAGATTTCTCTAATGAAGCCAATGAAGAAGATGTGAACTACATTGGAAACTATGGGAACAAGGGATACAATCCAAGCTATCGCCCAAACCCCAACATGTCTTATAGAAACCCCAATGTGGAGAATCCTCAAGACCAAGTGTATCCTCCAAGGTATCCACAACAACAAAGACCTCCTTACCAATCTCAAGGAAGTCAATTTCAGCCAAGGCAAGGGTATGAGCAGAGATCATCATATCCGCCCAAGGAGCCATATGCTTCTTCACCAAATCAAGCTCCTCCAAACCAACAAGGTGGGAGATTTGAAGGAATCCTCCAACAGATCATGGATGGCCAGAAGAGAATACAAAGAGATGTATGAGAAGATGGACACTTTGTTCAGCAATCTCAACACCAAGTATGATGCTGTTGCCACTCATGTGAAGAAACTAGAGACTCAAGTCACCAAACTATGGAAGCTGTTAAGAGACAGGAAGCTGAATCCAAGAAGTCCTTTTGCAACTCAGCCGCCATAGAAGAAAGATTTGAAGACCAAGTTCCAGAATGGATGCTTTCAAAACCTACTGTTGATTGCATGATTTGGCCTGAAGAGAATTACCCAGAGAGAGAGTCCAATCGAGCTAGAAAGAGAAGACTCTTCCCAAAGATTATCCCCAAGACAGATAACTCAGGAAAGTTTGTTGTGCCTTGTATCATCAAAGGTAACATTCTTGAGCAATCTTTGTGTGACACAGGAGCCAATGTGAACATCATGTCTAAGAGGATAGCTGACAAGATAGGCCTCACCAAGATAGAGCCATCATCCATCTCCATCAACTATGCTGATTCATTCTCACAAACCCCTATGGCTTTGTGCCTAATGTGATGGTGCAGATTGGAAATTGCTCTATCCCTACTGATTTCCAGATTGTGGAAATGAGAGAGAGTAGCCATAGACCTCTCATATTTGGAACCCCTTTCCTGTCTACTGTGGGTGCCATATTTGATTTCCCCAATCAAAGAATCTCTTTCAACAAGGTGAACAAGGGTATGTTCTTCCCTATGTGTTCAACAAAGAACTCTTTTGTTGACATGGTCCAAGAGGAGAAAGCTACTTTGAAGCCACCCCAAGAAGGAGAAACTGAAGAAACAATCAAGGAAGATCCCATTCCTAAGCCCAAGCAGCTTGCCAAACAAGCAAGGAGTAAGACTAAGGCCCCTACACCAAAACCGCCCAAGGGATCAACCAAGATTGAAGATGAGGCCAAGCCAAGAAGAAGGTTAGAAAGCCTAGGTCTGGCCGCAACATGAAGCTTCTATTCCCAAAGGAGCTTATTGATGAGAATCTAGAAGGATTCAAGGAGAAAGTGACAAGAACTCTAAACTTTTTCCTAAGGCAGTAGTGCCAAGGGACATTCATGGAGAGATTGTCTATCCAGCTGTGAATCACCCACCAGATACTCATTGCAAGGAGAAAAGACTTGGAGGATCAAAGATGCCTCTTGTCTCCATCTTCTCCTGAGCGCCAAGCCTTACAGTCAAGCTAAAGACTTAAAACAAGCGCTGCATGGGAGGCAACCCATGAGGTACTTTTACTTTTCTTTCTTTAAATTTCTTAGTTTTTGTTTTGCTTTTGTGTTTTCTTTGTTTTAAGATAGGATAGAAGGAGAAAAAGGTGTGAAAACACAATCCGCGCCAAACCATTGGCCGCGGACGCGCAAAGAAATTTTGGCCGAGCAATTCCAACCGGGCCGACCGTCCGGTCGAGCCGGGAAGGAACGGCTTATGCTCGGCCGGATTTCTATCGCGCGACAAAACCGTTCGCGCGGCACGCACGAACAGGAAGAACAGGCCGCGATCGGCCGAAATGTATCGGAACGGACCGACCGTTACGGTCGATCCGGGAAACAAACGATCGGCCTCGGCCGAAATTCTCTCGTCCAACGAGATTTGGCCGACCAAATCGCTCGACCGCGACAAAATCCATCGGCCATCGGCCCAAACTTTTCTCGGCCAAGGTAAGTCCCCTTTTCATTAAATTCAAACCGGTTTTAACCAATCCTAAACCGGTTTTCAATCAAAATTCGAATTTGAAAAGGAAAATTAAGGATTGATCTTATACTTTACCTTTCCCTTGAAAACAAAAGAACCTCTCTTTCTTCTCCAAAACCCTAAACTCCATTAGAGGAACTCTAAGAGCTTTGATTTCAAAACTTTTACTGTTCATAACTCTAAATTGGAATTTACTTGCTCTTGCAACCTTATTCACTTTTCAATACACAAGGTATGTCTTCTAACTCTAATCCTATGTTTATGCAAGATCGAAATTTCAATAAGTTTCTTGTTTGGTCTAAACTCTTGTCTAAACTTGAAATTAGCATCTTATTAGTCTTGTAATGAACTTAGCTAGGTGGAACCTAGGTGGTTTAGAGTTATTTGAAGTTTAATTTCACAATTGAATAGTTTTTCACAAAACTTATTGGGCATTCCAAACCCCTTATTCAAAGGTGAAATTGCTTAGGCATACTTCAATTCATTAGTTTATCTAGTGATTACTTGGATTAGAAACTCAATTTCTCTTGATTTGCTAAAATTTCGATTTTAAGCACCATAATCTTGGATGAACAGTAAAATCCGAAAATTAACTTTGAAAAAGTGAAATTTCCATTTTGTCTCTTTGATTCATGATTAAGCCTTGAGTTGTTCCATTATTCCATATCATTATTACAACTCAATTAGCTTATTCTTCTTTTGCATTAATCACAAACTCATATTTCTTCCCAAGAATTTGCTCTTGTAGGTACCCAATGGCAAAGACAAAAGGAAATGAGAGTATGAAGAAGAAGAAGAACCCATTCATGCAACCACCAAAGAAACAAATCAAGCTAGGGAGTAGTAGCTCCAATGCAAGAGCAGCAAATACCAACTTCACCACATTCCATTGATGCAAGTCAAGAACATGTGGAGAGTCCAAGAAGAGAAGAAGATTGGGCACTTGTAAGCTTTGTTGGAGAACAAATCCAAGACCCAAGAAAGTGCAAGAAGGCAATGGAGAAGGTGAACATCGAACCTTGTGTGAAGATGGACACCCAAACCCTTGACCTTCTCAAGATAAGAGATGATGTCACATGGTACATAAGGAAGCTAGGCTTGAGCAAGCTCTTCAAGCTAGAGTAGTGAGTACTCAATCACCAAGGAGTTCCTCTCCACAGTAGCTCTTGCCTTTCCCAACCACAATGGAGACCAACCAGCTGGTGATGGACTCCTACTCTTCAAGATAGGCGATGCCAATGGGCGCATCTCCATCTCAGCTCTATGCCAACTCTTTGGACTTCCCAATGAGACAGCACATGACTTCAAGGAGAACTCAAAGAGGAAACAAGCTGCCTTTGCTGATTGGACACACTTTGCCAATGAACCATTCTTGCCTTCAAGATCAAAGGTGTCTAGAATCACTCATCCAGCCATTCGCTATGTGCACCGCCTCATCTCCACCACTTTCCAATGCAAACAAGAAGCCAACAAGGTCACAACTGATGAGTTCTACATCCTCACCACACCATTCATCAAGCATGAGTACAAGGCCAACCTTGGCCTCTTGCTTGCCAAGACATTCATCAATGTGAGGAATCTAGCTCAAGACTTGGAAGGCAACAAGAAGCTTTGTGTTCGTTTTGGGAGGCTTATCACGGCCATAGTGCAACATGTGGGGATTGACATTCCCAACTATGAGCCACTACCCAAGCCAACCCTTTGGATCTCCATGCTCTTCAGCAATCCACTTCCTAAACCGTTGGAAAACAAAGTAAGAAATCGTGATACAAGGGCGGCTCTCTTTTCACAAGAGGCTAAAAAGCTATATATATAGTGATAGGTCTTAAGAGGCGGCTTAGGATTAAGCGAGGCCGTGAAAATATGTAAATCGGGCTTCAAAACGGATGAAACGAACTTTGGCCGAGACTTCAGACGGACAGATACGATTTTAGCCGATCGGGAAACATTCGTTTCTCGGCCGGCCGCTCTGCATGGCTTGGCCGCAGTTTCGCGATAGAGCCACCTGGACCAGTCTTCACTCTTTTGGTTATAACTCCTTCTCTACTCATCCAAATGAGGTCGTTCCAGTTTGCGTTGGAAAGTTAACTCACTAAGAGCACGCAGGGAACTGGTCTTGATGAAATCCATTGAGTAGATCTTTTTTCTGGGCCCTCTTAAAGTTGATGCTTGGGCATGGAGCGGCTTGAAGTGCAAATCCTATGGTTTTGCTCCAAAATGCATCATTTCACCTGTTTAGACTCTAGACACTATAAACACAGTAAAACTATCTTTTTAGATAGAAAACCTGCCAAAAACCATTAGAAAACAATACTGAAACAGTATAAAACGCACGTAAAATAGAGGTATATCAAGGCAGTAGGATCAATGCTCAAACTAATCTATCCAACACCTATGAACTATATTTCGAGAGCAAGGTTTATTGGAGCTCTTAGTGGACCTTTTCAAGCGATTTCCCAACACTTCCAAGTGGAAAATCGCCTATGAACATACAAGCCAGGGGTAGTGGTCATGTAGCCTTAAGATTTGTCCAAAAGAGAGAGATTTCTAGATTAAGACCCTTAAGGTAACTACTCACTACATGATGCGGGATCAGGTAACTACTCACTACATGATGCGGGATCAGGTTTTACCTATTCCTATCCCTGATTCTGCAAGTGCACAGGTCAGATGTAGTAACGGGTTATCGAACACAAGGACCAGATAAGTTACACTATGAGTTTATGAGATTCAAATCAAGCTAGGACTCAAGTATGGAGGTTTGTTGTTGTCACAGATTCAAAGCAAAGTAAACTAAATAATATGAAAGCAATAGAAGAAAGCATTGGGCATCAGAGAATCCTCAAGGTTTCATAGATTAAATCAAGCAAATAGATAGGGAAATCAATAGTTTTGTTCTAGAACTCGAATTGATAAGTGTAATTGACCTACTTCCGCAGTGCCAATTACTAAGTCTAACAACCTAAATCACACAACTCCCGCAGGCAATCAAGATGATAAACAAGAACAGTTCCAAATTCGATAACACTACTTCCATAGGTTTAGTTCACAAAGCCTTGTAATTCTACTTCCGTAGGTTACTATGCCTTGCTCATCTAAGTTGATTCAAGAGATTTAACAAACGGTCAGAAAGTAAATCTACTTAACAACAGTAGCCTAGACGGTCAATCAAGCTATAAGCAATAAGCACAAACTTAGATGAAGAACACTAATGATAAAACCCTAATCTAGCAACCTAACAATCAATCCATGAAAACCCTTTGAAAACTCTTACACCCAACAAGAAGATTACTCAAGCATAGTAACAGAGATCAAGCATAGAGATGAAGAAGAATTCATAGTAAAACTTGATAGAAAGTAAAAGGGTTTAGAAATCTCCTCTATAGTGTTACAAAGGTGAGATCCTCTCCCATGAAGCTCTAAAACGAAATTAATGTAAACTCTCTAAAACTAATGCGGCTCTCTCTTCTAATGAGGCTAAAAAAGTGTATTTATAGTGCCCTAGGTCTTCACAAGTCGGTTTAGGTTAATTGGGCTGAGAAAAGTCAAAACTGCATAAGTGGGCTTCTTGTTCGCGGAGATCGGGTCGAGCGCGGTCCTTTGCTTCCCGGGTCGCACGGTCTGGTCGGCCGTGATGTGATGATCTCGGTCGATTGGTCCATTGCCTCCCGGGTCGGACGGTGCGGTCGTGCGGCCGGATCGGTCCTGGAGAAGGCCGAGCGAAGCCAATACCCTTCCTGTCCGGCCGAGTGCGTTCGGCCGGCTGTGGACCAGTCTTCCGTACAAACGTGATATCTCCTAAACGGCTTATCCAAATTGCATACTTCCAACGGCATTAGAACAATAACTCATCTGGCTATCTTGGTGTTGAGTTTCATTGAAATCCATTGAGTTTAAGGGTCTAAGCCGCTGCTGCTCGTCTGATGTACTGATGCAGTCCGATAAATCTCCTCGGTATATGTCTCAGGGAAATAGAGATATCTCCCAATCTACTCGGTCAAATTGATTGATTCCAGTTGAATTGCAAAGCTAACTCATGTATGCATCTCCTCGAACTGGATTTGATGAAGTCCAATGAGTAGAATGTTTTTAAGGCCCTTCTTAAGTTGATGCTACGTCTTGGAGTGGTCTTGAAGTCCAAATCCTGTGTTTTGCTCCAAAATGCATCTTTTTACCTGTTTAGACTCTAAGTACTATAAATACATAAAAACTACCTTTTTAGATCAGAAAGCCATTAAAAACCTTATGAAAAGCATAGTAAAACCATATAAAAAGCATGTAAAATAGAGGTACCTTCTAACATCACGTAAGAATTTCTTCTTCTTGTAGCCAAAGAATTGGGGTGGTGGATGATCAGCAGCAAGATAGTTGGCAATGTATCTAAACCAAGGAGTGTCGGATGGTGCTGGTTTTGGAGGTGCTCTAGGACGTTTCTCAAGGTGGAAAACTTCCTTAGAACTATCTGCATCATACTCTTTAGGCATCACAGTCGAAACCTTGTCTCTTAAGCAACTTTCATGATCAGAGTTCACTGATTTGGTAACTTCATAAGATCTTATGTAAAGAGCTTGCTTGGAAACGTTTTGAGGCTTCTCCTTCTCTTCTCCATGGTCTAAACTCAATCTGCTGCCATTCCTAATGGTTATACAATAAGAGCTCTTGGTAGGGACTGCTGGATAAAAGACTCTTTTCTTTACTCTAGAGAAAGAAACTCTTTGGTTTGGATAGTCCACATTAGCTCCAACTGTTGCAAGGAAGGAACTACCAAAAACCAATGGCGTTAGGGGTTCCTCATTCATCTCTAGAATATGAAAATCTGTAGGAACAAGACAACCTCCCACTTGTACCAATATATCTTGAGCAAAGCCATATGGGGTAATAGTAGAGGCGTTTCCAAACTTCAGTGATGTTTGAGAGTCTTTAATGTCAACTATTCCAAGCTCGTCTGCTATAAGCTTAGACATAACATTCACATTAGCTCCTGTATCGCAGAGGGAATCAATAAAATCCATACCATTGATTGTGCATGGGAAAACAAATTGCCCTGGATCTTCCATCTTATGCAGCTTTCTTTGATGAGGTCCCTTGTAGATTGGCTCATCATCTTCAGGCCATTCCAATGGGTTTTTGAGGGTTGAATGATCTCTAGGGGCTGGTGAGACTACGTCCTTGTTCTGAGTTGTGATAACTTTGCAAACTCTTGGATTTAACTCAGTCTTACTTGGAAGAAAACCCTCTTGCCTCTTCATACCTTCTGCTATTTGAGCAACTTGTACCTCAAGCATCTTCACATGATTGGTTAGATCAAAGAGCTTTGCAAATATCTCATCATCTTTTCTGTTGAGATGACCATAGTCGTTCGCCATTTTGAACTCAAGGTTTTCAATCTCTTGGGCGTTTTGCTCTTGTCTTTCCATCATATGTTGTTGATTTTCCATTAGCTGTTGCATCATAGCTTCAAGTCTTTCCTCTCTAGCATCAATGTAGTTGACTTCTCCTTGCTGCTTGTGAGTGTTATCACCATTACACTCCTCTTTATCCTTACCATGAGAAGCTCCCACGTTCTCACATTGGTATGCATCCCTTTGCTGGTTCTTGAGAAATTGAGCAACCATTGATTTCAGCTCAAGGATTTCTGAAAAGTCTGAACTTGGCTTGATGCTCCACGTTTTTCTCATAATCCAAGAAAGAATATTTGTTGCTTGCAGCCAAGTTATCAATGAGAATTGGCTTGAGCAACTGTATTAGTCATGAAGTCCCCTTGACTTGCGATGTTGAGTGCCATCTTGAATTTCTCATCAACTCCTTGATAGAAGAAGTTTAGCAAAGCAATCTCTGTAAAACCATGGTGAGGCACTCTCTCTTGTACTCCTTGAACCGTGAAACAGCCTCAAAGAATGATTCATGTGCCTCATGTCGAAATTCTGAGATTCTTCTTCTCATCCATTTTAATCTCTCTTTTGGGTAGAAATTCTTCAAGAAAGCTCTCTTGTACTCATCCCAAGTAGTGATTGATCCTGCTGGAAGAGCCCTCATCCATTTGTATGCCTTCTCAACCAAAGAGAAAGAGAATAAAGTACACTTCAAGTAATCCTCAGAAACTCCACTACATCTCCTTGTAGCGCAGATTTCTTCAAACTTCTCAATATGATCAATGGGCTGCTCTTCCTCTAGGCCACGAAACTGATGCTGCTCCACCAAAGCAATGAGTTTAGAGCTTATCTTGAACTCTCCAGTAGGTCGTGGAGGGCATATAGGTTGGCGGTTTGTGAAAAAGATGTCTAGTGAGTCAAACTCTCCAATGGTGCGGTTTTGAGGATCCATTGGATATCTTCTTCAAGAGGTTCTATCTCTTCCTCAAGCTAACCTGAAACACAAAGAGATAGAGAAAAGTAACAAAATAATAAAAACAAAAACCAAGAAAAATCAAAAACAAAAAATAAAAACGAAAATTAAAGCTATTTTTGAATCTTGGTATTTTCGAATACTAACTTTTTCTTTTTAAATCTTGTGTTTATAGGTACTTGGAGATGAATCACAACACCAACATCCACTTTGGGAACCGGACACTGATCCCACACGATCTCCACGGCCGGAGTTACCAAGACCCAGCCGTAAGCATCGTGCCACATCCGTTCCCTCCCAACCGCGCTCATCCGACGTTTGAAGGACCTAGCCGAGACGAGCATCATTACCATCATCATCAAAACCGACCTCCGGTTTATCATCAACCACCTAGACCAGTGTTGCATTCACACCACGACCATGTTCTCAATAGGCGGAGAGATAGCCATTTCGATGCCGTGCTTGAGGGTTTCATGGAGAGCCAAAGAAGAACTAGCCGCGACATTGAGACAAAGCTAGAGTTCACGCGATACGAACTAGATGGAAGACTTGGAGAACTCTCTACCCAAATAGAGAGAGTAGAGTCAAGATGCTTGGACATGGAGGAAGATTTGAAGAAGCAAGGCGAGGCCATTGAAGACAATAGGAGAGCGATACACTTTACCAAAGTTTCTACCAAGGAGATGGATAATCACTTAGATGAGAAGATCTCAAGTCTTGATAACAACCTCGATGGCACCACCAAGAGTCTCAATTCAATAACAGCAGTAGCTCATCAAGCTAAGAGGGAGGTAGCCGAAGTGACACTAAAGGAGAGGCAATGTTACTCGACAATGCTTACATTGGTGGAAGGGCAAAAACAAGTGAAGGCACAAATCCGAGATTTACACATCTCTCTAGACAAGAGGAGCCAAGATATTCAAAGAAGAGCTAGAGGGCTTGAAGACAAAGTAGATGGAGTCTCCAAGGAAGTCAAGGATTTAACCACTCGCTTAGCCAACTTGGAAGAGAAGGTCTTGACCGAGACAAAGACGACCGTTCCTAAGCAAAACTATGCCGCGCCCGTCTTTACTATAAGAGAGACCGACCCAAGAGTGATTTGGGATGAAGAAGAAAGTAGAGCTGATCAAGAAAGAGCCACGAAGCTAACCACTGGAACAAGAGAGAAGATAGCACCAAAAGGAAGAACCCTTACTCAAAGGTCTTCACAACCGCCTCCCACCAAGGAGAAGAGGAAGACAAGATCATCACTTGAAGAGATCATAGATGATTTCAACTTTATGGCGAGGAGATTCCCTTATGGTGTGACGTTTGATAATGCTTGCAACAAGAGTCCATTCATGCAAGACCTAGCTTGGACACAAGATTGGAGTCTAGCTGAAATGGAAAAGATGTACGAGGAAGCAAGAAAGGGGATGCCTAAACCTAGGTTTCTACACAAGCTTCATGACCCAGCTTCCTTAGCTAGCTGATTCATCATTGACCGAACCACTTGGAGAGGTTAAAGACATTCAGCTTGATTTTGGAGGCTGCATAGTTCCAGCCAACTTCTATGTAGTAACCATGAAGGATCCGGAGGACTTAAAGCTTTTGCTTGGAAGATCATTCCTAGCCACAGCTGGAGCGATCATGGATTGGCCTAATAGAAGAATCTCTCTAGCCAATGTTGACAAGGACACCTTCTACGATGCTGCACCTCCCGGTTTCTCATCCAAGCGATTTCGCTACACAAGTGGAGGAGAGTGCTCACAAGTAAGAGGAGAGTCGCATGGCTACTTGATCAAGGAAGTTCTACAGGACAAGATGCACTTGGAATCATCAGGCAACAGGAAGTTCTTGGAGCCACCAATCCTACCTAACTAAGAACACAAAGGAGTCGAGCTACAAAGACTTAAAACAAGCGCTTGTGGGAGGCAACCCACATTTTCTTATCCCTTCCTCTTTTTATTTTTTTTTTATTTTTATAACTATTTATTTGTTCTATTTATAACTCTTAAATTTTTGAGAGTTTAATAAATTTTACAAAAATAAAATAAAAAGTGTTTTAGGAAAAAGTACCAAAAAGGAGGCTTACATGAAAAATGCATTGGAAAAGCTACATCGCCACAATCGGCCCAAGGATCAACCATCTTTGGTCTAAGTGTCAAGTATTGAGTCTAGTTTGAGTCCCACCCAAGTCCCACCCATGTTTCAAGAAGCAAAGAAGTCCAAGAAGGGCCGCGGCACAAAAATCCGGCCATTGGAACACTATTGCACAAGGCAAAGGTAAGTATCTTCCATTCTTACTGTCATTTCTTTTAAACACTATCTCTATCAAATTAAACCACATACACTACTTGGATTTCTGATCAAGATCACAAGTACATATGGTTTCACGATCAAGTCTTTGATTGGGAAGTTCAAACTACAACTTGAACAATCATTGACAGAGTTTAACAAAGAGTTACTAGTGTTTTTCAGATATAAAACATGACAGGAAAGAACCGGTTCAAAATATCATACAAACATGGCGCGCAAGGAGCCACAACCGGCCAAAGGAGGATTTACATGCCAAACATGAGAGATGAGGGAAATCCAACCACAATTCAATCCAGGAGGGATAGAAAAACAGTTCGGTCGAAGCAGAACTCAATTGGCCCGAGTAAATAAGGAGATATCAACATCACAACCACTCTCTCGGCCAGAATCGACGAACCAAGCGACAATGCTCGACCATCTCCCAAACGGCACGACCGAAGTCCACCAAACTTCACAGGCGACCTCAAAACATCATTTTGGTCGGCAAATCCAAAAGATAGGACGAGAAAAAGTGCCTGCTACGTGAGATAGACGAAGGAAGCTCAATACGGCCGACGGCGATGCATAGAATGGCCGACGAACTCAAAACCTCAAGAAGGCGCGAACACCGGTGGAAACTGATCCTCTGGAGTCCAAAAAACACCAAGGAAGAAGAAAGGAAGGAGACGATCGAACAGATAAGAGATGGCCAAAGGAATCACATCCCGAAGCCATTGGCGCGCACGACGAAAGATCTCCGAATCCACACGTTCAAATCGCCTCAAACTTCACAAGGAGCCACAAAACATAAGGTTGGTCGATGAAAATTCATTTCAGTACAATGAATTCCTTACAATTCAAGAGATGGCCGATGGAGTGAAATTTGGCCGATCGCGAGCAAGTAAAATGGCCGACAATCCAAATCACGGCATTTACCGCGGCCACCGGCTCAAATCACCTCCATCAAGCATCACATCGCATCTAAAGAAGAAAATCCAGATTGGAACGAGCAGAATTGGAGAAGACCGAAGGAAGACGTTCCCGGAGCCAATTTGAAAATTTTTCAAAGGAGATCTCAAACCACTCGTTCAAACGACCCCAAACTTCACCAGTCGCCATATTATACAATATTGGTCGACGAAATTTCAAGATAGGTCGAGGAAATCTTCACGGTTCGAGCTGTAGTCCATACCATCACCATCCGGTCGACCAAAACGGACCAGTCTCGGCCAAAAAGGCGAAAAACAGAAAACCAAGGGAGAATTGTCACATTCATCCAACCAAATCCAACAGCTATGATGTTTGCACCAGTCAGTTCATTCCTGGAAGCAACTCAAGCACAACCGATCTTCACATCAAAGGCCAAAAATTTGGGTACAATTTTCTACAAACTCTAACTTTTCCATTCTATTTATCATTACCTCTCTTAATTGGATTTTTCTTACACCGAGACGGTGCAAGTTAAGTCTGGGGGGATTACTAACAAGTTTGTTCTTTTTGAATTTCATTGAGTCGTTTTATTGAGTCAAAATTTTGTCAAAGGATTATGACCTTATCTTGGATCTAACCATTGTTGTGCTAACGTTTAAGTGACCATTGAAGCAGTCTTGGCAATACATCTTACCACAGGGACACTATGAGTTGATCGATCTACCAAAAACGCCCACACCTCCAAGGACTTGAGAAGGATCCACTCTTGACTCCGCCCTTAATGAACTTAATCTTCTCAGCTAGGGGCTTGGCATACAAATGGCATGATTCCTCATCCTCTCCATCAAATGAAAAAGTCTTAGTGAGTTCGTGCTTCCCTCTCTCTCCCCTTCAAATTTAAAGAAAAAGCGTAAGGTCCAAGTAACCGGGGATTCGGTGGCAAACACCATCAATACTCGCGTCTATGGAAGGCCTATGAATCCAAGCAACCGGGGATTCGGTGGCAAACACCATCAATACTCGCGTCTGTGGAAGATCCAAGCAAAACCTCTATAATAAAGAGAAGGAGTTGAATAAAAAAATACTTCGCTACCCTAAAAAAGGGATGAGTCAACTCAAAGAAGTGAGAAGAGAGAGAGGAGAAACATGGAGTAAAAAGACAAGTGCCAAAACAAGGGGATGAGTAAGAGTCTAAAGCCGGCTGATCGATACTCCCTAGTTGAGACCACACCTTTAGAAATGAAAGGAGTCAAGGAGGGTGAATTGGATTGTCCAAAGAGAGGTGGGCCGCCTTGGAAAAATCGCAAAACTCATGGTATGTACTCTTGTTCTTAATTCAAATATTTGCCTTTACTACTTTCATGTGGATTACTAAAACCAAGCCAACCCGGATTTCCTAATGATTTGAGAGTTCTTGCGTTTTCAAACCTCTCTTCCTCTCTTAGTTTGCTTGGGGACAAGCAAAAGGCTAAGTCTGGGGGAGTTGATATACCCATATCTTTCATGTTTTTATCAAGGTTTTCACTATGTTTTTAATACAAATAATGTGGTTTTTATGCCCAAGAGGTAGTTTTCTTGTATATTCTGGTTTTGAGCATCATTCAGGTCAAAATAGCAAAGAAGAGTCAAAATGGAGCAAAAAGAGTCAAATCACCAAGTTCCCAAGTCTAGAGCACCAAATCTACATTTCTCGCTAAAGACCAAACCGGAGCATCCGAAGTACGACCGCATATTCATGCCTTCCCGACGTCCAAAAGTCATGATTCTTATATGGAAAGATAGATATTTGAGTCATGACCCGCGGCGAAGTGGAAAGAGGTCATTTGGATCACTCGTTGGACCGGAACTTATTTTCTACCAAGACATGTCCGACGAGCGCCTAAGTAGAGCCCATGGAGACTTTGATGGATCAAGAGGCCCGAGATACCGCGCCCAAGGCCTTGGCTCATCTTGACACTAGCATAACTCAATCCAGAAGCTTCCATTGGCCTGAACGCGGCCCATTCAAGAACTTGGAGAGCAAGCTCAAGCGGCTAAAGAGAAATGGAAACTTTCCTCTTCTGCGCGCGCTCAACTTTGCCGACCTAGACCCGCTCTCTACCTATATATACTTGCTTTTAGCCTCTTGTAATAAGAATCACCAGCCGCATAACAAGAAACACTTATTCAATAAAGTTCGGAGCCACTTAGGTGGTCTCCTTCTTCTTTCTTTTCTTCTTTTGCATTTGTATATAGCTTGCATGTTTCAATTTATATAGTCTAGAAGTAGAGATTTCTCCCTAAGGGTGAGGCGGTTTAGTCCATATTCCGCCGCCTCTCTCTCTAAGGATTCATGAGACTTCATCTACTATCTAAGACTCATTGTTGAATTATGGATCCTTCCAATGAGGACGTGATATAATGGCCATCGAAAATCGATTGTTAAAAGGGGAAACCCTATGGTTCTCCATCTTTATTTATGCTTAATGCTTGTTGCTAGAGTAGCTAACTAGTGACTTGATTTTAGGTTGATATACTCTCCAAAAGCTTGTTATATCTCCGGACACAATATTTGATGGGCAAATCGTTTTAGGCTACGAAAGTAGACCTAAAGAGTTTTGTGAACAATCATTACTTGGATGTAATGCATGTCTCACTCTACAATGACCAACGAAAGCTGAGCCCATTGGTTTAAGAGACATAGGGGATTGGAACCACGAAAGTGGAATAATCCTTCCTTAGTGTTTTGAGTTCAAAAGAATCGGATTTTAACAAACTTTTCAATCGACTTGGCTCATGTTTTCAAAAGAGTTTTCAATAGTTCAATAATGTTGCTTGTATAGAATTGCATTGTTATTTCTTTTGCGTGTTCTAAACAAACACAAACCCTTGCATCTTTTGATTTAGCTTAGTCATTTAAACTCTATGATTATGTAATGTGTGAAATCCAATCCCTTGTGGTTCGACCCCTAAATACTACAATTATATGTTGTGCACTTGCAACACTAGTTGTCTTAGGGAATTATTACTTGTACTCATCCCATAAGATGCAGCGCAATCAAGTTTTTATGGCTATTAGAATTGATGGCTGGTTTAGATTGCCTCAAATTTTCACAATTTATAAACCCAACTAATGAGCTGCAAGTGCACAGCCGTGTTGTAGTCGGGGTCGAACACGAGGAGGAAGTGTTCTCGCTTAACACCTTGTGAGATCGGTTTGTAGCTAGCTCGCAATATGAGGTGGTTTTGGTACCTAGAATGAGAAAAAAAACAAAAGAAATGTGAATGAGTTTGTAAACAATTTAAAACAAGAGTTAGGCAAAGGACAATCATATGGAGCAATGATGAAAAGATAGTTGCATGGGATGTGTGTAGAGCCGTCTAGAACATGAATCACTAGTGTATGGTTTTTCCACTGTCGTGGCTCCAACCACTATGTTTGAAACAACCTAATATACTCAGCTTTCGTTGGCTATTAGAATTGCAAACATGCATTACAAGGTTCAAGATTCAATTGTTCACAATAAACCATAACTCAGCTTTCGTTGGCTATGATCTATTGCTCACCAAATACTAGTTTTGAGATCTAGATTCAGCACTGTCGTGGTTCTATTTCTCTAAGATCAGATTACTAGATGTACGGTAGAGTAATCATGCATTAAGCTCAAGTAAAGGTGAAGATCCATAAGATAAATCCCAATTAGTTGCAACACAATCAAATCATCACGGCCACCATAGATCTCCTCGGCCTAACTAAGAGATCTACTCGGCCATGATGCAAACAAGCAAGCAAAGAAAGCTTGATGGCGGGTTTAGATTGCCTCAAATTTTCACAATTTATAAACCCAACTAGTTAAGCTGCAAGTGCACAGCCGTGTTGTAGTCGGGGTCGAACACGAGGAGGAAGTGTTCTCGCTTAACACCTGTTAGATCGGTTTGCAGCTAGCTCGCAGTATGAGGTCGTTTTGGTACCTAGAATGAGAAAACAAAACAAAAGAAATGTGAATGAGTTTGTAAACAATTTAAAACAAGAGTTAGGCAAAGGACAATCATATGGAGCAATGATGAAAAGATAGTTGCATGGGATGTGTGTATAGCCGTCTAGAACATGAATCACTAGTGTATGGTTTTTCCACTGTCGTGGCTCCAACCACTATGTTTGAAACAACCTCATATACTCAGCTTTCGTTGGCTATTAGAATTGCAAGCATGCATTACAAGGTTCAAGATTCAATTGTTCACAATAAACCATAACTCAGCTTTCGTTGGCTATGATCTATTGCTCACCAAATACTAGTTTTGAGATCTAGATTCAGCACTGTCGTGGTTCTATTTCCCTAAGATCAGATTACTAGATGTACGGTAGAGTAATCATGCATTAAGCTCAAGTAAAGGTGAAGATCCATAAGATAAATCCCAATTAGTTGCAACACAATCAAATCATCACGGCCACCATAGATCTCCTCGGCCTAACTAAGAGATCTACTCGGCCATGATGCAAACAAGCAAGCAAAGAAAGCTTGATGGCGGGTTTAGATTGCCTCAAATTTTCACAATTTATAAACCCAACTAGTTAAGCTGCAAGTGCACAGCCGTGTTGTAGTCGGGGTCGAACACGAGGAGGAAGTGTTCTCGCTTAACACCTTGTGAGATCGTTTGTAGCTAGCTCGCAATATGAGGTGGTTTTGGTACCTAGAATGAGAAAACAAAACAAAAGAAATGTGAATGAGTTTGTAAACAATTTAAAACAAGAGTTAGGCAAAGGACAATCATATGGAGCAATGATGAAAAGATAGTTGCATGGGATATGTGTAGGCTGGGTTTAGCTATATATTTACCTATGTAAAAAGGATGAAAAAGGAGTAAAAGAGCCCTAAATCAAGATCCATGCAAGTTTCCAAGTCAAGAAGATCATTTTATCTCCAAGTGTTAGTTCTCGCTGCGCGCAGAACGAAGCTTCGGAAGTTTGGCCGCGCGCGGAGGAGTTCCCGACGTCCAAAAGTTACGATCTTGATATGGAAAGATAGATACTTGAGTCATGCATCACGTCGAAGTGGAATGAAGCCATTTGGATCAACTATGAGGCCTAGACTTATTTTCTACCGAGACATGTCCGGTAAGCGAGTAAACGAAGCCCATGGAGGATT